TCATGCCTATATAAAAGTGGAAAATTAGGCATTTTGTAGCAAATAAAACTTAATGGATGTACATATGATCATTTAATATTATATACCATTTGAAAGGTAAATCTTTCATCTATGGCTGCATGTTAAAATATTGGTAACTTTCCATGCCTTTCACTTAGAAAAACATGGCAGAACATACCCACTGAGCCAGTTTTTTATCATATGAATAGTTTTGTAACAAAAAGTATTAAGTAGTTCTTTTTAAAAAATGATACAACATTTATTTAAATGGGAACTGTAAATATTTTTACCTGCAGCCATAGACAAATACATAAGCTTTCAGAAAATGTATTATTTTACCGATTTTGATATCTGGTTAAAAATTTTTACTTGCTACAAGTTTTTGGTTTAGTAGGCACGCATGATATTTTAACTGGCTAGGAAGTAGCCTATCTCTGTTATCTATGTTATGTCTCTGCTTATTTGCACCAAATGTTCCTGTCACACTGTGTACTGACGATTTTTATTGCTCCTTGTATGCCTCTGTGCCGACAGACCTTTTGATCATGCACAATGTTGCCCTGATTGGTTAATCACCCTTGTCAAATATTCTAATGACGAAATAGACATCTATTTTTTTACGCTTCATCGGTGAACTGAATGACCTTAGGGGAAATTAAGTTCCACACCGTCGAATTATGCTGTAAATGACAGCATGTCATAAAATAGCAACACATTTTTTTTCAGTTACCAATAATCATTTTAAATGTTAAGTAGATTTATGATTTTTTGTTTTATTGGATTAAACGGTAGTAGAAATGCGTATCTGTGTGGGAAAGGAATTGGGTAAGTAGATAACGTGAAAAATGCTATAGGGAACTGGATAAACCCGAGAATATGCGTTATTACAGGGGAATGGGCAATCTTTTGCTGTTGGTACCAGTTTTGACTGGGTGCCTAAATAACCTTACGGGCAGTTTTGTTTTCATACGATATTAGTCTGGCTGCCGATTTTCCCGCGCCATTCTCACCATTCTCATTTTTAGCGTCAATGGCGGAAAATCGTGTCCTCAGTAGATCTCTGCATATTGGATTTAGTTGATATTTTACGCTGAAAAAAAGATACATGACCGGCGATGTACCCTATTCGGACAGCTTGTACAAAATAAAAGGATATATCGTCAATTTGAAGAAGTTTCTCATAGTACCCAAATTAAATTAATGGTTTATCTTTGAAAATTAAGCAGTCATTGCTTCAATCATGTGGTGGGATCATCATCAAGCTTGAAAATCGGACAAATGATAATTAATGTCGCGGCGTCTTCAATTAATTAATTAAAGCAATTCAGTTCCATATGATGTTGTCATAAATAATATATAATGTACGCAATAAGATTAATAAGTTCTTCACCAAGATATATTACAGTTGTACCAGCGTGTACAACTAACCGGAAGTGGGTGTAACACGTCACAATCTCGGTCTCGTCTTTCTCGCGAGAATGACAGAACGCCAAAATGGCGGCGCCCAAGAACTTATTTCTCAAGTAAAAAACAGTGTCTTAAAACACGAAATTCTCACTTATTGGGTTGATGTCAACAGAAAAACTGTCATGGTACCTCTTTTTAAATGATAAATATTTATATTAGACAGACATCAATCCATCCATTCCTATTCCTTTAAGGTTTTAAAATTATTTGCATATGTAGCAGACTTGATTTAATGAGGACTTAGGCCGTTCCAAATACAAGATCCAGAAAAAATAAACAAATGACTTCCAAAATTGATATGTATTTTAGATATGATATGTTTATTTGTTAGAAACGTAATTCTTTATCGATCGAAACTTGTTTTTTTTTCTTTCAAATTTGAACGTACACCAATTGTTTATGTTGCAAAGCGTGCAAAAACACTCCAAAAACAGTAAGTTCATTTTAATCACACTTTGTATTGCTTATCCCATACGTAAGCCCTACAATCTTTACAACAAGGTTTTTACTTGTGACATTCTGTCTCAAAATATAATAATGCATTCCAGAAACTATATAGTTGGTTTACGTTTAGATTAGTTTTAGTTACTCTCTTTTTCTCCACAAATTTGCAGGGTTCCATAGATTTTTCAATTAAATGTGAGCCTCCAATCAACATTACAAGACTGGCGCCTAATTTTTCTGAAGCTATTATACCTGTAATGTAGGCATCTTCCACTTGAACATACGATCTTTCCTTTGCTTCTTTTACAATGTGAGGAAGAATGTTTACTGACAACACGTAAGCAGTTCCCGATGCATATCTAGGCAACCAATCTTTTTCATAAACAGACTTATCAATCGCCCATTTACCATGTCGCCATACTTTACTGTTACTGTATATGTATCCAAATACAACTCCTTTTGGAGTTAATGTATGTCTTTTTAACTGTTGAATCAATAAAGCAACGTTAAAAAAAACATCTTCGTCGACTTAAGGACATACGTTGCATGCTTGCAATATTGACCTACCATTTAAAAACCATGCAACATTTTCAAAAGTTAAGTTATGATACGAGTCTGTGAAATCAAAACTGAACTATATCATTATATTTGCTGTTTTCTCGTAAAACACTTGCATCCACAAACATCGTTTTTACTCCTTTTCCGAGCAGAAACACGGTCCTGACTATGTATGGTATTTCTACACCATTTACCTTATTGATATTATCACGTGATAACTGAGCGTATGTTTCTCTGATTGCCTGTCGGTGTTTGGCATGTGAAGGTTGAGACGGAATCATGATAATTAAATAAGGATTGTCATTCTGACACAAATGTTCATTTAAGATTATAGGTGTACAATCTATCGGTGTTATGTCTTTTGTAGTTTTAGCTCTCTCTTTCTGGTACTTTTGTACACTTTCTTCTTCACCAGCAGGCAACATTTTACTACTTCTGGTTGTTTTCCCTGGAGGTCTGATGTGCCCTTCATTTGAAATTTCGGTGGTATGCATTTTACCATGATTTGTCACAGGGAGCGAAGTTTTGTAACTATCATCATTTGAGTAATATCTTAAATATTTTTGTTGTGAGTATATAATTGCTATACGTATGCAATAGTACAATAAACTGATTCCGACGACCATTGATAAAACTCTTGAATAGAATTTCATGATGGCGTTATCATTATTAAGAATTTGTTAGATTAATCCATGAAATATGTATCTAACAGCATTTGTATAAATCTAATGTAGCAAATGCTAAATACATTTGTCCCTATGGGTATTATCAACCCATTTTTTTTATTAAACACTTTATAATTTTACGACAGTCCTAACTTAGTCACTGAGATGACAAAATTTTGAATGTATCCTTCATAATATCCAATACTGATTGACATATATGTTTGAATATATGTTTAAATATAACCAGTATAATTGCTGATATGAATTAATGTTTATTGACACTTTATCTTGCTAAATATAAAAAATCTGGAAACAATGTGATACCTCGGAAGCATTAATCACAACAAAATAAAATAAGAAATGCAGACTCGGTTTGATTGAGTCTGTACATAAAACTTGTCTTTATCCTTGCAGCATATGTTTATCTCTGAATCAATATGTTTATTAAACAAAATAATATATTTGTTTCTAATAATTGCTTTTTATCAGTGAATATCTACGTCTCGACATCTTAATATGGTTAAACTAATATACTTTTTAACTTAGTCTACGGCTTTGCAATTTTTGTAGTAAAGTCATATAGTGACATTCATGGAACTTTTGTTTTTTGTCTGTACAGTTCATTTTGTGAATAGTCGTCAGAATTAATAATGAAAGAATCAACATATAAAAAAAACAATGTTCTTATCATCAAATGCAAATCCGTGAAACATATAGTTTTTCTCGTGCCGCCGTGTATGAGAAATAAATGGCACACATATCCAATAAAAGTCCGTGTATTGTTCCTATTGGTACAAACACTAAACGTAAAGCTTGATTTTGTAGAACAGGAACATTTGAAATATCAAGTTGTTATTCAATTTTAAGAAGATAAACGTATTTCAAAGTGTCATTGAAAATATTGCACATCATTAAATGGATATCGGAATATTGTAATGGTTGGAAATATATGTTGAAAGTTGATTATAATACATTGGTCAACGTGACACAAATGCTGCATTATCTAGAAAAATATCCAAATACACACGATGATGTTTTATATGGTTGTAGTTGAACATATCTACATAAATGGGTATCAATGTCCGGAAAATGGAAAGTTCCCAAAAGTTTTTTGCGTTCCTTTTAATCTGATTATTTGTACACTTTGACATAAAAACTGATAACGGACTGAGTATTATAGCTACCTTTTAGGCAACGTAGGGCATACGTTTATAACACGGAAACGCTGGGAGCGATGCGCCGGATTATTCTTCAGGCTAATGGTTCAGATAATACCGCGCTTTCAAGTTTGACACTTTACAAATTTGTATATATCTTCATAATGGGAACATGAATGATAAGTTATCTAGCTAGTTTATTCCTATAACCTATAATTTGTTTGGTATCAATTAATGAACTGAGGCCTTAGATTTCTTATCAATACAGTTACACTACTGTACTACTTTATTGATAAAACGATGTTAACATTTTAATCTAATAAAGGCTATACTATAAACATGAGATAAATCTGAATTAAAAAAATATCAAGTACATGTACAAATTTCAATATCAGATGAATCCAAGGGGTACATGAATATTTTTTAAAGACATGGACTAAATTTCAGGCAAATAGGCTAATTAAAATATGTTTACACATATTAGAAAACAAATGGTAACCATGTCACTATCGTAAAGGTTTAATGAATCCAAATGCCAACGGAATACAAAACATACGCAAACACGTAAGAACACTGCAACAATTTTACACGAAAAGAAATTACAAAAAAATCATTTTAATTCTATTGTCGCCATGAATTAGGGGAAAAAACCATTGGCAAAGAGAAACTCGCATTCTTCTGCATGATACTCTGGATAGTTGTAACTGTGTCAGAGATGAGTCCAGTGGAACCTGGAAATGTTGTCCCCATGACGTTGTGTTAGGACGACCATGACGCACAAAAGATATAACCTCATTTTTTCATATTCCTTTGAAACTTTTTGTCCGAATCGCTGAGAGGATACAAGTAAACTGTCCAAATATCCAAAAGAAGGCATACATATCGTGAGTATGGAAAAGGGTAGATTGGATCCCCCGCCGTCTCCGAAAGGTTTCGATGGGTTGTTGGTATTAACATAACGGTAGACTGGTGATTTGAACTTTTTTGCCGCCATCAAAGCTACAAGGTTATTTCCACAGTTTACTCTTATATCGCTTACCATACTTGCCCATTGATAACGCGCAGTTAGGTTTCCAGTTACAGGATACATCTTGATTGACATGTCCGCAATGTTACGTGCTAAATTGTGTCTAGCTGCTGGTGATGCACAAAGCGCTCGTAGTTCGGTTTTATCCCATGTACCCCATATCACCAGGTGGGTCTTTCCGTCCATTTCTTGACGCAGCACTACCTAAATTGAGAATGAATAATCATGTTGAATAAGTAACAAAAATAGTACAAACATGTTGCAGGCAGGTGTTTTGAACATACAGATTCGTCAATATCAATGTTTTCCACGCAAATTTGATTTTTAATGAGGAAAGAAATGTTCCAATCTATATCTGTAAAATTAATGTCCTTTCTAATAAGGTCAAGAAAATTTTTGTAACTGACTGAGAAAATGTACAGACCGACCAGGAAAGGAATGTCCATTTTGAATCCACCTCGCCCAGGCTTCGAATGGAGGCTGTTTTGAACAACGTAACCTGTAAAAATAAAGATGCCTGTTACTGACTGTATATTTTAATGCTCGTTTAATATAACGCCTTTATCGACGTCCTTTTCAAAACAGTACATTTTATCCAGTTTTTTAACTGATTGTGGAAAGGAATTTCATTTTACTCAGTACACAAATTCTTAAAAGTAATACATAGCACAGTGCCTATTAAAATCGATTTATTTATGTTAACATTTCAAACAACATGTTAAAGTAAAAATTCCCTGATTTTCAGACTTGAATAATAAATAAAACAGTGAGATTAAAGCACCTGCATTAAAGTTTGTTATTCAATTATCGACTGGCCCAAATAAAGTAATCTAATTTTTTACTTAAAGTATATAAAGCTAGAACTACCTCTCTGCTGTTTCGGTTTAGAAAATGAGCCGCGCCATGACAAAACCAACATAATGTGTTTGCGACCAGCATGGATCCAGACCAGCCTGCGCAACCGCGCAGTCTGATTAAAGACCCTATAACAAGTAAAGAAACTGATAGCGAACAGCATGGATCCTGATCAGACTGCGCGGATGCGCAGGATGGTCTGGATCCAAGCTGGTCGCAAACCCATTATGTTGGTTTTGTCATGACGCGGCTCAAATGTTTGTTTGAATTTTGAAAAGGAGTAATTTCAATTGCCTGTATAAAAGAATTGTGATGGTATTTAAAATTTCATGAAAATATTTCATTCGATTTAAAAAATCTTGACAGCCTAGTGTTACATATGCAAACGACCTTAATATAGGCATATATATAATATGTCAAAAATCTTTATGGTTTTTAACAATTATTGTTTGAACTTTGAAAAGGAATAATCCCTTAAAACCTGTGTGAACTAAAAGGTTTATATATTTTATATAAAGCGAATGACGCATGCAAGAAAACATTGCTTAACTGCTAAAGCATAACAATATTTAACAATATATTTTTTGTAATAACAAATCTTTCGTGCATCGACCATAAGATTACGGAAACAGCGAAACTTTACAAGTGATCAATTATAATAAATTATATATTTAATTAGATATAGTTTTATACCCTGAAAAATTTTACTTATACCAATATTTAAGCTTTGAAAAGTATGAGAGTTTTCTAAAAACAAATATATGTAACAAAATTTACCATCAACTATTGCCATAGAACCGTCAAATTTCGTGAGTTTCTTCGGGATATCGTATTGGTCATACATATCCCAGTTTGGAAAATCATCCCATGGCACAGCTTCTGTTGCTTCTTGTGATGTTAGAGCAAGCAAACAATCAACTGTAGAACATTTAGTGTTGTTCAGGTAAACAAGATTGTCTTCGTATGCGTCTTTCGCAAGTTTATCATAACGAGGGGAACCACTAGCCATCCAACCTTTGTGAAACAACCCCTTGGCCAATGGAGATGCCATTAACCCTAAAACATGAGTTGCACCAGCGCTTTGGCCGTACAGCGTGACCTAAGAATGGCAAAATCATAAATGATTAATCTTAATTGAACAAACCTGAGCTGCATTTTATGTTTGAAGATTCAGCATATGTGTAAAGAAGTATGATAAATTATCTAAGTTGGCGCAATACATCTTAACCTTATTACTTTATGGCCTAACAGAAATAAAGACCCTTTTAATATCAAAAAGTGTCTTTGACTTTGTTGAAATAAAGAAAAGAAAAAAGTAAATATCAAACCTGTGATGGATCCCCTCCAAAGTTTTGAATATTAGCTTGTACCCATTGGAGAACTACTAAAGAATCCATGAAAGCGTAGTTGCCAGAAGTGTTAGTAGGTGAAACGTCTGCAAGTATCTGCAGTGCCATAAACCCAAAAGTGTGTAATCTATAATTATGGTTTACATAAACAACATTTGTCTCCCCGGCCATTTTTTCGTCAGCGAAGTAGTTGTCGTCATTTCCGGAACTTGAAGAGTATGAACCACCGTGAACCCAGACCATTACCGGTAACTTGGCTGATTTATTAAGCGTCGGTGTAAACACATTCATATACAGACAGTCCTCACTTCCGTAGAATGTCGTATCTGTTTCATATTGAAAGCAAAAATTCGCATATTGCTTGGCAGAAAGTGTTCCATTCCAGCATGTTCCATCGGCCATGTTTAATTTCTTTGGCGGCTGCCATCTCAATTTCCCAATTGGCGGTAAAGCATATGGAATCCCCCGAAATCCGTGTCCACCGTTTTGCGATAAACCTTCAATCGGACCACATGTTGTATTCACAACTGGACCTTTCCTGTGAGTTATTATAAAGCATTCACCAAGACCGAAGATTACCAAAATCAATATGGCTGGTCTAAGCATTTTTCTGCAGAGTGAAAAAAATGTGAGAGAAAAATTATTTACAACACAATACTGATATAGATAAATGAATATATTTATAAATCTTTGTGAATAAAAAACGTAGCCATAAAGATTTGGTTTAGATGAATTTAGATTTACAAAACTAGAAATGTGTTCATAGAACACGGGCGACCCCATACTCCACTGTTTTGTCAATCTTATGACTACAGGTCAAATATTTTTTGGGCTTCTTGTGCCACGAATTGAAAACTAAAATTTTTTTACTACATAAAGGGCAATAACTTTACAAATACTGAATAAATCCATAAGCGAACCCCAAGGTGCTTATAAGAAGACATGCTGGCCAACAATACTGTACACTTTCAGGCTTACAGGCCAAACATTTTTGAGCTATGCATGAACAATTGGAAAATTGCAAATATATACTAAATCAAGGGCAATAACTCTAACAAACTTAAAAAATCCACATACAAACTCCCAGGTGCATAGCTTTACGGTGATGTTGATCATTATAACTGTAATGTTGGTTGATTCTTACTCAAGCACTCAAGCAACAAATTACATAACATAATGGAAAGGATTTTACTCAGTCAAGTACAATAACTCTACAAATACTGGATAAATCCACAAGCGAATCCAAAGGTCCAAAGGTGCACAACTACACTAATGACCATCATTCCTGTTAAGTTTCATGACTCTAGGTTGAATACATTTTGAGCTACGCACGACACAAATTAAAATTGCAAATTTTCAATAAGTCAAGGGCAATAACTCAAACAAAACATAATAAATCCTCAAGCGAAACCCCAGTTTCAGAACTTCACACGCTGAACAACATCCCTGTAAAGTTTCATGACCCTATGTCAAATACTTGAATATGACCTTCGTGTCACAAGTAGAAAATTGCACATAAGAGCGGGGCAAGGTGGAATGCCCTAAGTACCCATTTGTCTGTAACTGTGTACAAGGATAAAATAGGAAACTTAATTTGGCTTAAATAAATATCTATAAAGGATTATTTGTCTTATATGTTGAATATGTTGAACATAGTACTTAATTATTCTATTTATATAAGATCATTTTAAATCTTATTTAATAAAACGTTTTAACAAGTATTTATCATTTCCATTAAAAATGTTAAAGGAATATCACTTTTACCATATTCTCAAAATTAAATTGTTTATATATCAACTTACACGAATATGTTTGAGTGTACATGTATAGACATATCTATTTTTAAAAATCAGAATGTGTGTTAATGATATACATGTATGTTGTATAAAATTAATTATGTTTAAAATTAATAAGGTCATTCACTGACCATTTAATCACATATGGCATTGTTTTTTCCTTACACCGGCCGTCATAAAAATCATTTATTCGGCATACAGTGTGTAAACATTTTAAGAAAACTAAACCTAAAGCCTAAATAAGCATAGATATACGGAAAAGAAGTTACCTTAACCGGCTCCTTGATTACAATGATTTAACGCCGACCTCGCAAACAAAGATAAAGGCCAAAGTTTCTTAATGCCAAAGCAAAAGGATATTGCAAATTTGTGTCCTATATAACCGAGATAAGAAAAATATCCTAGATTCTAAACCTCGATGAACGCTGTAGACTTTTATTTAGTCTTTTTACATAACTTCATGTTTAAAAATGCTAACATACATTAAGATATGTATATACAATCAAAGTGTTTACTAAATACATCAGCTCAATTGAATTGCAATATTTTGAAAAATTAATATCGAAAGAAAAATGATCGTCAAACAAGGCAAAATTTGATTGCTGGTCCGGTTTGATAGAGCCTGTTCGTTGACGGCAAAACTAGGTATATGCCATCTACCATCACCAATCCCCTTTCACCGCCTTAAGAAGAATGCAACATTTGAGTTAGAAAAATGTACAATTAAGATCTTAATGTAACATTTATGATATATATGTATTTCATGGAACCCTTAATGTGACACTTCCGTGTCATTCTACAAAAAGTGTGTGAATTAAAATAGAAAGCAATAATTATATTAATCTTAATAATCGGAATGTAGGGATAGGATAAAAGATCTTAAATTGTCAAAAAAAAGTGAGAAAAAAAAGTTCGTTTTTGAGCCTGTTCAAGGACGGCAGATGAATACTATCTGTCATATATTGCATGATCTGCCATATTTTATCATATTTAAAACACTTCTTGAAATTTCAAAAACATATCGTATCAACCGTAACTTTTTTTGTATGGCGTAAAAACTTTAACTTTTATTCATATTGCTAAGATGACGACATCCTTGGCAGATATGTCATTCTAAGATGCTCCCAAATGACGTCATTGTATAGCATGCGACTCATCCGGCACCCCAATGCCGAATGTGTTTGCTCATTGGAAGAATGTAAATGTAGTAGAGCAGAATAATTCAATTTTAAGAGGTATTGTGGTAATGAAAACTGATGGCTGAAGTAATCATTCTTATGTTCTGCACTCCAACTGAATGAGATCTATCCACCTATGAGGTTTCAAGTTGATACCTCTAACACTTTTTGAGATAAACTCCAGACAAAAAGTATGAAAATAAAAAGGGCAATAACTCAAAAATTATTAAGGGTAGAGTTATCATTCTTGAGCACAGCATTCCTCCTCGATAAGATAAATCAACCTATGAAGTTTCATGCTGACATCTCAAAGACTGTTAAGTTATGCTCCACTCAGATTAAAGATAACAAAGCGCGATAACTCAAAAATTATGAAGGGTAGAGTTATCATTCTTTGCACTGCACATCTTCTGAGTGAAGTCTATCCACCAATAAGTTTCATGTTGATATCTCAAAGGCTTTTTAGTTATGCTCTGGACAAAAATTAAGTATGAAAAAAAGTTAACTGAAACAGGGTAATTTATCATTACTTTGTACTGCACTCCTCCTTAATGAGATCTATCCACCTATGAAATTTCAAAATGATACCTCTAACACTTTTGAGATAAGCTCTGGACAAAAAGTATGAAAAATAACAAATGGCAATTACTCAAAAATATAAAGGGTAGAGTTATCATTCTTATGCACAACATTCCACCTCAATAATATATATCCACCTATGAGGTCTCATGTTGACATATCAAAGAACTTTGCAAGTTATTCTCCACTCAGTTGAAAAATTAAGAATATAAATAACAAAGGACAATAACTCAAAAATTATAAAGGAAGAGTTATCATTCTTGTGCCCTGCACACCTCCTATCTGTCCACCTATAAAGTTTCATGTTGATATCTCAAAGGCTTTTTGAGCTATGCTCTGGACAAAAATTAAGTTTGAAAAATAACAAGGGAAATAAATGAAAGATTATGCAGGGTATAGCTATCACTCTAGTGCAATGCACTCCTCCTCAATATGATCTATCCACCTATGAAGTTTCAAGTTAATACCTTAAATACTTTTTGAGATATGCTCCGGACAAAAATTTCGGACGAAAGGACGGACGGATGGACGGACTGAGACTATTTCTATATCAAGAATGATAGAAATTTATGACAAGATACAAGGCTGTTTTTAATCTCTTAGTTGATAGGTTTCATGACAATTAAACGCTGTAATGTATTTTCTCACATTTCAACAGACAACTGTTGTTGTTTTTTTTTACTGTTTGTGAATATCAGACTTGTGTATGTTTTTTTTTTTTCAGTTTTTTTTATTTTATTTATTTTTATTTTTTATTTTATTTTCGCTAGTCATTTAAACAGGATTCATGGTAAGATATACTGAAGATTACTAATGATGGTTTTGCATCCCCCAATATAGGAACAGACCATAACTTATCAAAACGTAAGTGTAAAAAACAATATGATCTTGTAGTGCAATATTCAATTCAGCAAACAAACATTACGGACCAAAGAAAATATCATGAACAAATTTATATAGAAAGTAACAATGTTTTCTCTCAAAGGTCTATTGATCTAAATAATACAAAAATAACAAGTATATTATCTACTGTCGCCATGAATACGGATAAAAACCATTGGCAAAGAGAAACTCGCATTCCTCTCCATGATATTCTGGGATAGTTGTAACTGTGTCGGAGATGAGACCAGTGGAGCCTGGAAATGTTGTCCATGACGTTGTGTTAGGATGACCATGACGCACAAAAGATATGACCTCATCTTTCATACTCCTTTCAAACTTTTTGTCCGAATCACCGAGCGTGTGCAAACCCCATTCCAAGTGACCAAAAAATGCATACATGTCATGATAAGTAAAGGGGTAGATGGATCCAAAGAACGGTTTTGACGGATTATTGGAATTAATATACCGATAGACTGGTGATCTAAAGGTCTTTGCTGCCATTAAAGCCAAACGGTTGTTTCCACAGTTAAATCGAATATCACTAGCCATGCTTGCCCATTGATAACGAGCAGTTAGGTTTCCAGTTACAGGATACATTTTGAGAGCCATGTCCGCAATGTACGTGCTAAATGTGTCTAGTTGTATGTGAATGTAGCGTTCATAGTTCGGTTTATCCCATGTACCCATATCAGGAGGTGGTTGGCTAAAGTCCAGTTCTTGGGCAGCGCTACCTACAGATAAGTAAAATAAATATTACGAGTAAAACGTTTATGTATTATAAAACAATAAGATACGCAACATCAAGAATACTTCTACTTCTATGGTTGCCAAATGAATATCTACAACGTGTAAGAAACGTACCGGTGACGTTATACAAACGTAACCATTGCTATCCATGCAGAATATGGAAATACGAAATTATCAAACATGTACATATCAAAATCGTATTTTGACCATATTGAATATAAGTCATGAAACAAATATTTAAAAGATAAATAATATATATAGTCGTTATAACTGAAAAATTACCAATTTACTATCTTCGCCGCTAAGCTAACATGACTAAGTAATCAATTTTGGATATTTAAAAAAAATTCTACGGTTGATAAAATCATTAGTAAACAAATTCACCTATTAGGAGGGGGATATCCATTTTGATACCACGTGCCCATGCTTCAAATGGAGGGTGATTGAGTACATACCCTGTGTAAATAAAACAAATTGAATTTCAATGGAATCCCTAAAGAACGCACAAAACAACAGAATTGAAAATATTGCATGCTTGGTTTCAGTGAGCCTGTTCCTGGACGTCACTGTTAAGTGCAAGCTACCGTTCACGCCACAAAACAGCGTGATAAGCAGATTTAACATTTAAACATACAAATGATAAAAAAAGTTTGAATATAGAAACACTTACAGGTGTGTTCATACGGCGGTTATCATGGAACTATCAATGCCATCCCATGACAAGTAGCAGCGTACGATTCTCAATTAAAAGAAAGTTATATACGTAAACGAGAAAATAAGGGCGGAACTAAATAAGATGTAATATTGAAAGAGGATCTGAGGTCATGAAGCCTGTATATCACAGACAAGACGCCAAAGACAAGTTTAAAAAGCAGGTATTATATACTAAGGGTTATTATACAGTATTCGAATGAAAATACTGGAACCACCCAAAATGAACACGTTAAATGCAAAAATAAAATCATGTCGTGCTGAACACTCTTCAAGGATCAAGAATATAACAACCGTGATTATGTGTACGGATCGACTTTTAGCGCCTCCACACGGCACAAATAACTCTGATGTGGCAATATCGAGAAAAACGAAAGACCCCAAAAATACACAAAACGGCAAAAATTGAAACTATTGCGGGTTTGATTTGATTGAGCTTGGTCATAGACGGTACCGGGAAGTGCAAGTATTCAACCTTTAAACATGGAAATTATATAATTTTGAATTCAGAAATATCGGCGCAGATGTGTTAGACTATTATATTTCTTTTCATTGCTTGTCCCGATATACAAGAATATGCAAAAGCTGTCAATGTACGTTTCCTGGCTTTAAATGGCTTACAGACTAAATCAAACCGAGTCTGCAATTTTCATGTCATTTTTTGTGATTTACGCTTCCAAGGGATCATTTTGTTTCCAGATTTTTATACTTTACAACAGCAAGTGTCAAGCTGTAAAAAGTGGTACCGTACTTAACGTCAGTGAGCTTATATTTGTCTGGTCCTCCGGGATCATTGATGCCAGCTATATAAAGTGTTGAGAATTGAGTACCGCTCAAAGCTGTGCCAGGGGGCGTGAGTGATGTTGCACTTATTCATTATCCCTCATGTACAGACACAATCAAATCGAGTTTGCAATTTTCATGTAATTTTGTTCTTATTAACGCTTCCAATGGATCACTTTGTTTTAATATATTTATCTTTTTTAGCATTTAGAACAATTTCTCTGCCAAATCAGTAGCACAGATGTAGGAAAAAGATTGTTTAATTCATTTATTCAATTAAACGATGTAATCAAATTTCTATCATTTGTAAATCAGATTTTATCATTTGTGAATTTTAAGTACATGTTTTGTCATGCACATTGCATTAGTCATTTTTTGTCAGATTGTGAACATTTAAAATTTTTAAAGATGTTATATTCCTTTTCTTTGATGACATGATATATGTACTATTATGATTAACAATATAAACTAAAGAGTTAAGTAGTTACAGTTAAAATTACAAGAGGGTCATGATGGTCATGAGTCGCTCACCAGAAACAGCTGTTTTTCAGAGTTGGAAATTATCCATTGCCAATATTTTCTGATATCTTAATTTGAGCATAGAATATGTTTAAACAATAATTTGGAGACATGCCATGACCTGGGGCATTTAAGCTTTAGCTTAAACGGCGTCAATCAAATTAATATGAGCAAATTTGATTAAAGACTACCTAATAATGCTACAAAGTTTGGTGATCATCTATCTATTATTTCAGTAGGGAATGTTCTGACGTTTTTATATTTTTGTCTTTAGTGGCCCCTAAAAGGGGCCAATCAAATTAATATGAGCAAACTTGATAAAAGCGTACCTAAGAATCCTACAAAAAAGTTTGGTGATCATACATAAATTAGTTCTGTAGAAGTAGATATTTAAAGACATTTCTATTTTAGCTTTAGCGGCCCCTAAAAGGGACCAAGCAAATTAATATGGTCATAATTGATAAAAGACTACCCAAGAATGCTACAAACAAAATTTTTTGACCATTCATTAATTAATTCTATGAAAGAAGATGTTTAAAGTTTTTCTATTTTTAGCTCTAGAGACCCCTACAAGGTGCCAATCAAATTAATATGATCAATCTTGATAAAAAAGACTACCCAAGAATACTACGACAAAAATTGGTGATCATACATCTGTTAGTTCTGTAGAAATAGATGTTTAAAGGTATTTTTATTTTTTGCTTTAGCTGCCCCTTAAAGTGGCCAATCACATTAATATGCGCAAAGTTGATATCAGACTACTCATGAATGCTACAGACAAAGTTTTGTGATCATCCATCAATTAGTTCTATAGAAGAAGACATTTAAGGTGACAACAGACACTTTCCGTGGTACTCACATAAATGTCATTTAAACCAACTTATTTTAGTAATAATTGTTATTTATTTAATCTTTGTGCATTAAATGTCGTTGATCATCATAAAAAATAACATATTTGAAAATAATGCCTTTGTAAATGATTGAATTTTAATAAAAATCCTAAAATTTTAAATCGTCATATCAAAGTTTATTTTTTTATTTTTTTGTCATCAAAACTTTTTGGAAAATAAACATACTTATAATATCTGGGAACCGTGTCTCAAATTTTTTCTATCTTTTCTCAAAAAAATATTACGTAACGTCAAACATTTTATGCGACTTTTTTCACCATACATATTACGTAATTAAAGATAATTAAGTCGCTTGATTGAGCACACAAAAATCCCCTGACACGGTTCCCTCCGTAAATGAAATTCCCTTTCCATGTGCTTTAAACCGCATGTTAATTGCTTGATTATTTAAAAAAGTTATGCCGATTCAAAGTTAGTCCGACCCGCATCAAAACGAAGTGTCATAAATCGGCTGTTCTCTCTCGGACCCCTACGTTTCACGCTAAATAATTGCATAATAAACAAAATATCGCACCAGAGAGGGTCACAAGTTGCGGTAAACATACTCTAACAACATTTTATGACCCAGTGACATCTGACCAATTAAAAAGTTGCTGATTAATATCATTTATAACAGAAATATCTTCAAATCTTAATGTGATTGACCTTCCGTCTGATATCGGTCGCACATGTCACGTGACTTTCGGTAAAATTTGAGCACTCGGTGGGGGGAAATGGAACGTAGCGAGGTTTTTAATTGTTTCACTTTTGAAGTTTATATTATTATTATTATCATCGGCATTTTATTATATAAACCAGTGTCACTCTGTCTGTGTATTCGTGTATGAAATTCCGTTAAAATATAAATTAAAATACAAAAAACTGAGCTTCTGACGGTCTTTTTAAAGTCCACGGTAGAACGGGGATATTATATATTTTTTCCTCCAAATTGATATAAATGCTTAACATATTTTAATAGAAATAAAAGGTATCACTCGATCATTATGATCTGACCTTCTTGACTTCTATGATCATGAAAATCATCTATGCACGGCATAGAGATCCAGTTTCTACTGGATATACAATAAATTCCATAATTTGTTCCAGTTTATTAGTACTGTGTTCGATTTACTGGCGAAAAATTTATTCAAAGCATTCACTGATAATATACTCGTATTTTATTATCTTTTTATTGATTCATAGAGAAATAATCATCCTTAGACAACCTAAAATGGTTTAGAAATTTGTCAGGGACACCTTAAATTACCACAAGTCATATAGGCGTTCACATAAAAAAATGTTGTCTGTTTTGTTGTTGTTTTACTTGACATTGTTAGAAAACGAGGTTGAATGTAAAGCAAGCCCTTGAATCCGTACAAAAGTCCATAAACTCAATGTAATATCTATCAGATTAACGGGACAGACAAATTATTTTCACACATTATATGGATATTTTAGCATCAACCACGTGGTCGTGCGATTTGCCGCTATATATTTATGTTTCATACATTATGTTACGTACATTGGCCGACAATTTCTTATTTTATAAAAAAAAGGCTAAATAAAAGGTAGACGATATTCATAAAAGATGTACGGTATTTGTACGATACATGAATTACGGGTAGTATGGACCGGTAATTCACGCATATATGGAACTACCGATTTCCCTCATTGATGCCTCAACAGGGGGCGGAGCGTTATCAATAATTGACAGGTTACGCGAATAGCAGATAAAAATGGTACAGGTACCGTTTTAAAACGTTTAAAAACACATTTTTTGGACTAACTACTTCCAAAATTAAATCACGAATGTGTTCAGAAAAGGTTGATAAATCTATTAAGCAAAAAATCTCATTTTAGGTATTTTCAGTGATAATTGACTCCGTTGTCACCTTAAAGGTTTTTCTATTTTAGCCCTAGAGATCCCTAAAAGGGTTTAATCAAATTAATATGAGCGAATTTGATAAAAGCCTACCCATGAATGCTACAGACAAAGTTTGGTAATCATCCATCAATTTTTAGCTTCAGCGGCCCCTAAAAGGGGCCAATCAAATTAATATGAGCAAACTTTATAAAAGACTACCCAAGAATGGTACAGACAAAGTTTGGTGATCATCCATCCATTAGTTATATATAGGAAGATGTCTAAATGTTTTTTCTATTTTTAGCCCTAGAGAGCCCTTTAAGAGACCAATCAAATTAATATGAGCACATTTGATAAAACACTACCCAAAAACGCTACAGTCAAAGTTTGGTGATAATCCAGCATTTAGTTCTGTAGTAGATGTTTAAAGGTTTTTCTATTTTTAGCTCTGTTGAACGTTAAAAGGGGACAATTGAAATGACATGACCAAATTCAAGAGTGACTGTCATAAGGATGCTACAGACCAAATTTGAAGTAAATCTGCCCCGCGGTTTCAGAGAAGAAGACGATTGTTGACGCATGACGACGGACGCCGGAGTATCCCTTTTTGATACCAATAGCTCACCCTGAGCCTTCGGCTCTGGTGAGCTAAAAGGCTAAAAAATATCTGAAATATAGAAAGATGTTACATTTACTCTACAACAAATTTTGATAACATACTTGAAAGAGTTGGCAAAAAGAAGAAGAGACTTACCATCAGCTATAGCCAAAGAACCGTCAAATCTGGTAGTTTTCTTCGGAATGTCAAACTGGTCAGACATATCCCAATTTGGAAAATCAGACCACGGCACAGCTTCTGTCGCTTCTTGTGATGTCAGAGCAAGCAGGCAGTCAACAGTAGAACATTTAGTGTTGTTCAGGTAAACAAGATTGTCTTTGTATGCGTCTATCGCAAGTTTATCATACCGAGGAGGGGTACTAGATATCCAACCTTTGTGAAACAATCCATTTGCTAATGGAGAGGCCATTAAACCAAACACCCGAGTTCCACCTGCTTCATGACCATACAATGTGACCTATGAACAGAATTATAATTTGTTTGAATTAACAGATGTCAAAGTCAATTTTCCCAAAAAGTTCTTAAAAAATTCTTAAAAAAATATTTTTGCGATGGTAAAAATCGTGCTTTTTTCAGGGTGTTAATTATTTAATTTTTTAAAATGAATTCCAAATGAAAACATCAACAATAGGAATTTCTTAATGATAAACAGTACATACCTGCGAAGGATCCCCTCCGAAATTCTGAATGTTATCTTGTACCCACTGGAGAACAAGTAATGTATCCATAAAACCATAGTTTCCGGACGTGTTAGTTGGAGAAACATCCGCCAGTATCTGCAGTGCCATAAAACCAAAGGTGTGTAATCTATAATTAAAGTTAACGTATACAACATTTGTTTCTCCAGCCATCGTTTCATCTGCATAGTACGTTAACTCATTCCCGGATAAATAAGCTAACTGGCCACCATGAACCCAAACCATTACCGGTAACTTGGCTGTTTTGTTAAGTGTCGGTGTAAACACATTTAAATAAAGACAGTCCTCACTTCCATAGAATGCTGTTGAGTTTTGATATTGGTAGCAAATATTTCCGAATCGCATTGCGGAAAATGTTCCATTCCAACACGTTCCATCGGCCATGTTCAATTTCTTCGGCGGTTGCCATCTCAGTCTCCCAATGGGCGGCAAGGCGTAAGGAATTCCCCGAAATCCATGTGCACCATTTTGCGAAAGACCTTCAACTTGACCACAGGTTGTATTAACAATTGGACCTATCCTTTGATTAATTATAAAGCAATCACCAAGATTTAACGTTACCAAAATCAGTATGGCTAAGCTGACGAAAGTGAACATTTTCTGAAATGTAAAACAATGTGACATTTGAGCATATATAGTACAAAATAATTAAACCAATTACGTTGATATATTTTTAGAAAAACAGACAAATTGATTAAGACAGAACTTGTATCACATAAGACGTTGTTTACAGAAAGATAGCTTTGAATTTTTTGAAGTACCATGTTATTATGTAAAATTCGAAATTTGCTTTGCTCTATTTAAACACTTGCAAATGGTAATGAGCAAAAGAAACTTAATTAATGTGATTAAACAGTTTCTTTACGTTCTCAGTAAATAATCTTGATAAGTTGAATAGGTAAATCTACATATACATTATGATATCACAATTTTTATCATAATGATTACAAATTTACTGTCGTCGTTATGTGTGACTTATGAATAAGACATTTCATCCAAGACCCTTCACGTACTCCTTAAATTGTGAAGACACTTCACACATCAAGACACTTCACCTAAATCAGTAAGACAATTCATCCCTCAACCATTTTTTTACTAGAGTAAATATTTCCATAACAAATACAACTGTTATTTGTTGATTTCTTTATATTTAGTAATTTTTGGCCGGGTTGCACTGGTGTAAACCCGGGTTATAGCATGGGGCAGGCAGGCAAAATATTTTTCGTAACAGTTTTCTCAGCAACAACTTATCACAGCCTCTTGATAGTTGGCATACAGGATTGAAACATGGTCCCATACCGTGGGATTCGATTTCAGGTCTGTAGCTTATCCACTTCATGTTTACCTACTTAGTTAAAATTTCGACATAAATCATCAATGGTAAGAAATTTTCGTTACAGTTTTCTCAGCAACTACTTATCACAGCCTCTTGATATTTTGCATACAGCATTGGCACATGGTCCCATACTTTGGGATTTGATTTCAGGTATGTGGCTTATCCACTTCCTGTTAAGCCATTTAGTAAGAGTTTCGACATTGATGGTCAATGGTAAAATTTGTTCGTTTTTTCTAATGATGTTTGGTATACAAATGCAATACGGCCTTTTCTGTCTTTGACCCATTTTTTTATAAAATATTAAACTCCTGCCAATTTTTGGTATATTTTGAACATTTAAACAAACATCATGAAAGAAATTTCCAGTTACCATACAACATGAAACTTTTTATGCATAACAGTAATTAAAAAAATTACCATGCAATTGAAACTTTTTATAAATTAAATTCTATTCAAACATAACATGAAAGACAATTTATAAAATAGAGAAAAACAGAATCAATAAAGAAAGCCCAACACGTCAAAATTGAAAATATTGCAGACTCGGTTTGATTGAGCCTGTTCATGGACGGTACTGGAAAGTGCAAATTACCATCCACGCCCCGTTGCACCGGCTTAAGCAGAATTCAACATTGAAAGATGACATAGAAAAAATAAACATGCAGAACTAAATGCTGGCAAGTAAATATATGTGTGACTTTCAACATAAAACAAACTATCAAGGTACTACATGTCAATAGGAGGACGAAGGAATTGAATGTTATTTTATATTTGCTGTTTCAAAAACATCAGGAAAATAAAAAAAAAACAATATATTTTGTTTTATTAGGTCTACATTTTATTACATAATCATACATGTATACATGTTAAAACAATGAATATTTCTAATCACCATTGATAACTTATCACATACCTCACCTTCATGTATGTGCAACATTAAACAAATTGAGCGGTGAAGTGTCTCAATCAGATTTCATCAAAAGAGGGTTGAATTGTCTGAGGGGTGAAGTGTCTGCAAAAATGGCTGAGGTGAACTATCTTTAAATCTTTCCATAGCTCTATTTGCGTCTGAAATCGTCATAGTCAAAAGATATCTAAAACAGTACAAAGAACCTTTTGTGACTTTATCAAACATATGCGGATGTTTCTAAGTAATAGTTAGACGCTTATAAAAAACTAAACTACTTAACCTGATAAGAAGAGGCAACGGAAGAGTGACTATATCGTTAAAAAGTTAAAAACCTTTATTTTTTATTAGCATCTAACTAACTAAGCTGGTGACTTACTTTTCGTAGACACGTTGTGATTATGCTGAAAGACGCGATATTTAGATACAAAATTTGAAAAAGAGCTTAAATGAAAAAAAAAAATTCAGTCCGTTTCATTGGACGAAAAAGGGGATAGAGAATGATATCATACTTGTACTATTTACTTCTTTTTTACTGAAGGTATGATAGGGGCTTGGACTGCAATTAAGTCCAGTGGCAACCATTGACCGCTTCACCTGTTTTTCATGTCTGTATTGTTACTTGTTTTGAATGTTGACATGTTTGTGATGTCTGCCTTGTTGGATTTTTGTTGACGGTAGGTGCTTTCTCATCCCTCTCTCCCATTTTTACCCTGGCCCCTTTTTCACCCTTACAGCGCTTATCCCTTTAGTTATGTCTCCCAAGTTTTTTTGTGAGACATATTGTTTTTGTCTTCGCAGTCTGTCTGTCTGTCCGTCCGTCCTTCTGTCCGATCGTCCGTTCGCGTTAAGCTTGTCCGCCCTTTACAGGTCAAACTACTGGTGGGATTTCAACCAAATTTTTTGAGTGATCAGTACCATCCCTTGTTGTGCACATTACCGGCACGTTACGCTTCGTTGTTCAAAAAAGGCCGCCAGAGCTAAAAATAGAAAAAAAAAGTCCGACCTTCACAGGCCAAACAACTTGTCGGATTTCAACTAAACTTTATAGGAGTGATCAGTACCATCTGTAGTTGTGCACTTCACCGGCACATTCCGCTTCACTGCGCAAAATGGCCGCCAGAGCTAAATAAAGAAAAACTCCTGTTCGGCCTTCACAGGTCAAACTACTGGTGGGATTTCAACCAAAGCACTTTACAGGAGTGATCAGTATTATCCCTTGATATGCACATCAGCGGCACGTTTCGCTTAGCTGCACAAAATGGCCGCCAGAGCTAAAAATTGAATATTCTTGTCCGGCCTTCACATGTCAAACTGCTGGTAAGATTTCAACCAATCTTCACAGGAGTGATCAGTTCCATCCCTAGTTGTGCAGATCGCAAGGATGTTTCGCTTCGCTGCAAAAAAAGGCCACCAGAGCTAAAAATAGAAAAATCTTGTCCGACTTTCACAGGTCAAACTACTGGTGTGATTTCAACCAATTTTCACAGGAGTGGTCAGTACCAGCCTTAGTTGAGTCTGTGCACATCGCCGGGATGTTTTGCTTCGCTGCACAAAATGTTCGCCAGAAATAAAAAAAGAAAAATCTTGTCCGGCCTTCACAGGTCAAACTACTGGTGGGATTTCAACCAAACTTTACAGGAGTGATCAGTACCATCCTTTGTTGTGCAAATCCCAAGCACATTCCGCTCACTGCTGCACAAAATGGCCGCCAGAGCTAAAAAAAGAAAAATCGTGTCCGGCCTTCACAGATCAAACATATAGTGGGATTTCAACCAAACTTTACAGGAGTAATCAGATTAGTACCATCTGTATTTGTGCGAAATACCCGCACGTACCGCTTGGCTGCACAAAATGGCCACCAGAGCAAAAAATAAAAAAGTCTTGTCCCGCCTTCACAGGTTAAATTACTGGTGGGATTTCAACTAAACCTTACAGGTGACCAGTACCATCTATAGTTGTGCACATCACCGGCTTGTTCCGCTTTGCTGTACAAAATTGCCGCCAGAGATAAAAATAGAATATTCTTGTCCGGCCTTCACAGGTCAAGCTACTGGTAGGATTTCAATGAAACTTCACATGAGTGACCATACATAGTTTTGGGAGACATGTTTTTGTGACAAAAACCGTTCTTCTTCCCACATAGGCCCGCTTTAGTTTTTATTATTCACACATTACGTGTCCCTTTCCTCCTTTTGCCGCCCTTATATCCACTCCATGTTTTGGTTTGGTGCCTTCTGGATGCCCTGCTGTGATGGCTTAGGTATGTCGGGGGATCTGCGTCCTGTGAACGTTGCATTTGCCTTGTTGATCTTTATTCTCGTTTTTAATGTTAACCACAGACTCAAAACAAAGCCTGCAACATTTTGATTTGACTTGTATCATGTCGATTTTAAATTATTTATTGGAATCATTTCATATATTCTGTATTTTATTTATTACAAAAGACAAATTAAAAAAAGTCATCCTTTTACTTGAGAAATAATTTCATTTGAAGGTGATAATTACATGCAGACATAATTATAAAAATGGGAAAAAGGCAGTAAAATAGATAAAAACAGAATCCCTAAAGAAAGCCGAACACGACAAAGTTGAAAATGTTGCAGGCTCGGTTTGATTGAGCCTGTTCATGGACGGTACTGGAAAGTGCAAGTTACCGTCCACGCCCCCTAGCACCGGCTTAAGCAGAATTCAACATTTAAACGTGAAATAGTAAAATTTTGAATTTAGAAACATCCGCAGATGTGTTCATACGGCGGTTATCATGGAACCTTCAATGTGACACTTCCGTGCCATTCCATGAAAAGCGGCGTATGGTCCCCAAGTAATAAAAAGCGTGTGCCCTAAACGAGAAAACAATGGGCGGAACTAAATCAAATGGACTTGTGACAATGATTTCTTTGCTTATTTCGGCAGAGTTTCCTTCAGCTGAATTAAATAAGTAATGTGTGTGAATAGATATAAGAACTTTGTAGCAGTTTTTAAATCACGACACACATTTTTCTTTCCAAATTAGCCGAGATAAGCGACCTTTTAGGGTCAAAATGTCAAGCTGTCTGCCGTATAGCGCCAGTTTTTAGACTCCCCTTATATTCAATTATTTAAAGCCGTTATATTTCCAAACCTGGATGATTTTGCAGTCTGAATTATGTCTCCCAAAATGTTTGGGAGACATATTGATTTTGCCTTTGCCGTCTATCTGTCGGTCCGTCCGCCCATCAGCATTAAGCTTGTCTGGCCTTCATAGTTCAAAGAGACAAGAATAAAGATCAACACGGTAAAGGCAAATTTCACAGGACGCAGATCCCCCTCCCTATACATCCAAGTAAGGCACCCAGAAAGGCACAAAACAAAAACGATAACACTACA